CGTCCCCAACACTCTGTCCTGAGACTCCCGGACCTCTCTGCTAAAACCAATACTAACCCTAGAACTAATGGCCACTACTCTGTACTCATACTTTTAGACCTTTCTGCTGCCTTTGACACAGTTGACCCCCCGCTTCTCCTTCATTAACTTTATTCCTTTGGCCTCCAAGACTTGGCTTTCTCATGGTTCATCTCCTACCTATCTCAGCGCACCTTCAGGGTCACCTACAATTCTACCTCCTCCTCTTCCTCTCTCCGTGGGGGTCCCCCAAGGGTCTGTCCTTGGGCCCCTTCTATTCTCTATCTACACTTCTTCCCTGGGTCAATTGATAGCCTCCCATGGCTTCCAATACCATCATCTCTATGCCGATGACACTCAAATCTATCTTTCCCCTCCTCAACTCCCCCCCTCTGTCTCTTCACGTATCTCTAATCTACTCCGTGACATCTCAGCATGGAGGTCACACCCCTTCCCCAGACTCAATCTGTCCAAATCCGAGCTTATCATTTTTCCTCCTCTCCGTGTTCCCTCCCCCAACTTCCCCATTACAATCAACAACACTACGATCAACCCCTCCCATCAGGCCGGGGTACTCGGTGTAATCCTTGACTCTGAGCTCTCCTTTCAGCCCCACATCCAAATCTTGCCGACTCCACCTCCGTAACATTTCCAAAATACGAAAACAAAACCACGAAGCTTCGAATTCACTCCCTCGTAATCTCTCGTCTCGACTACTGTAACTCCCTCCTTGTTGGCCCACCACTAAGCAGGCTCCTCCCCCTTCAGTCTATCATGAATGCTGCTGCCAGACTCATCCACCTTACCAACCGTTCAATGTCTGCCGCCCCTCTCTGCCAATCCCTACGCTGGCCTCCATCCTCCGCCCCTCTCTGCCAATCCCTATGCTGGCCTCCATCCTCAGCCCCTTTCTGCCAATCTCTCCACTGGTTTCCATCCCCCGCACCCCTCTGCCAATCCCCCCACTGGTTTCCATCCTCCGCCCCTCTCTGCCAATCCCTGCACTGGCTTCCAATAGCCCAAAGGATAAAATTCAAAATATTAACAACCACTTACAAAGCCATCCACAACTCTGGCCCCGAATATATCTCCAAACTCGTCTCAAAGCATCACTCTAACCGTACCCTCCAATCCCCCTGCCCCTCTCTGCCAATCCCTACACTGCTTCCATCCCCCGCCCCTCTCTGCCTATCTCCTACACTGGCAACCTTCAGGCGATCCCTAAAAACCCATCTCTTCAGGGAAGACGATCTCATCTCTACATAATTGGCTTTTACTTCCTCCAATAACTCAACACAAACAATTATTATCTTTTGTATCACTGGCCCCTCCTACTAGATTGTAAGCTCTCAGGAGCAGGTCCCTCCCCACCCTATTGTTCTGAAACTGTATTGTAAATTGGACTGTAACTGTACTGTGGCCACTATTTTGTAAAGCGCGGAGCAAGTAGTTGGCGCTCTATAAATCCGGTATAATAATAATAATAATGATGATACGGTGACAAGTCAGTGAAATGCCGATGCTGAGCGTCTGTCTATGGTGTGGAAGAGGTGGACATGACGTTTGAAGCAGGGGCGTATCTGCCGCGAGGCAAACAAGGCGTTTGCCTGGAGCGGCAGATTCGCTAAGGAGAAGTCTGGTGCCCCATCATCCTCCCCTGCACACCGCCAAGCCCAACGCTGCCCACAGTGAGTGAGACTATAATATGTGTACAAGTCACGGTACCCAATATAGGGGGAGCTGTGTATACGAGTCCCCGGACTCACAGCCTGCTATGGAATATGTGGGGTCAGGTGCCGGAGCCGCGCGGGGCGGATAGCCGGTGGTGTCCATTGACCTCTGAAGATAATTAGCAATCTTACCACAAAACAGAAGAAGAAGCTGATCTTGGCCACCTGACAGATGGAGAATTTTCCAGTTGTCCTCAGGTTGGGCTCGCTATCCCGGAGAGGTGGGTGTGCCATGCGGGATAACTTGGCTTCCAGGGCCTGACTGGATGGGAGGAGCCGAACCTCCATCAGATTACTGAACCGGACCCGCGGCTTCTTAATAGCTACAAATGGAGATAAAAGGAAGTGGTGAGAGTACGAAGTGATCTGGGTACAGGAAGTAACTAGAAAGGAGCCGAGAGAGAGTGGAGGAAGGGGCCCGTCAGACCTTTACATAGAAGAGTTCCAGTAGCGTGTATACATGCGTGTAACCGGACAGCATACCTGCAAGGACAGTCTAAGGGATCGGCTACGTTGGCGTGGAAAGTGACCGAGAAAAATGTAAATCTTTTGTAGAGAGAAAATAACATTTCCCGGGCTGAGTATCTTCCAGATTTACAGACACGTCATCACCTGATGTGACCGCTCGTTCTATTACTCACTCATGAGTCACTTCCTGTTCTCTATTCAGATTTCTTCCATTGTATTCTCACTTTTGTAGCCAAAATGAGGATAACGCCGACATGACCTCCGACATGACCTGCGATATGACCTCCGATATGACCTCCGGCATGACCCCCGACATGACCTGCGACATGACCTGCGATATGACCCCCGATATGACCTCCGACATGACATCCGATATGACCCCCGACACGACCCCCGACAAGACCTCCGACCTG